GGGGTTTGAGTGCAAGGAGGTGCATGATAAAGTTTCCCTCAACCCATTCCCTTGGAATTGGAAGGTTACAGAGCTCAGTTATGAGTTGGGGTATGAAATGCATCAAAATCAAGGTCACCCAGTATAGTAGAAAGAGGCCTGGATGAGGTGTTAAGCTCACCAATGTGGTTCTCATCCTGTGTCTTTCCACATAAGGTGAGAGATGTGAACCCAGACATAGCGAGGCAGGATGAGAGTGACTTCACTCAACCAGTGATTTCACTGGTTTCTTGTAGGACAATTATAAGTGGTTAATATGTGTTTTAATTTCTCCACGTTGTTGTTGTTATTTGCCGTCGAGTCGGCCCCGACTCATAGCGACCGCTCCTTGGGTTTCTGAGGCAGTATTACTATGGAAGTAGGATTGCCCAACCTTCCTTCCATAGAGAAGTACATTTGCACCCTATTACTTATTTACTAAATTCATATTCAGATACATAATGGATTAAAGTCATCCAGGCACCTTTTGATTAGTCCTATCAACCAAGTCGAATATCTCTGCGATACTCCAAAACCAATGTGATTCTTGTTTCTTGGTAAATACATATCTAACGAAACATTTGCCTTTTCATCATTCTTTACATGAACAATTCTGTGGAATTATGTTTTTCATGTTGTTCAATCATCACCATTATCCATTTCCAAATTTTTCCATCACCCTTAACAGATGCTCAGTGCCCCCTAAGCAACGAGTCCAACTTTTCTCCTCTTTTCGGCCAGCTTCAGGCAACCAGCACTAATAACCTTAGGTCTCCATAGATATTGTATACAACTGGGATCATACATATTTGTCCTTTTCTTATTGATTTATTTCATTCAGCCAAAACTAATGTTTTAATCTATAAAACAAAGTTCTGTCCACAACTTGATTGTTGTGGATCAGCCTAGTGTTAGATAGATTCATATCTTTTCAGAATAATGAAGAGAGCCTGGTGATCATAACAGCTCAAAAAAGAGGCCATGCTCTGAGTGGGAAGGCTGGGCTTTTTAAACTCACATCTCCTAGCTTCTGGTCTAGGGCCAGGAGGGTATTGTTAACAAAACAAAACAAAAGAGCTACAACAGATAATCTGAAACCAGATAACCTTCTGAGGTATTGAAGACAGATTCTTAGCATTACCAAAAATGAAGGAAGATTTCCAGAGACTGTTTCCCAATCAGTGTCAAAGGAAATGAGCCTCCAGAACAAATTTGAATGGATACTATATTGCTTTCTCTCAATTCTTTCGGTAATGTGGTTGCTCTGTGTCAATTCTGACTCATAGCTGCCTATGACAGAGTAGAACTGCCCAGTAGGGTTTCTCAGGCTGCAGTCCTTACAGGAGTAGATCGCCAGGGCTTTTCTCCCATGGAGCCATTGGTGCGCTCGAACCACCAGCCTTTTGGTTAGCAGCCAAGTGCTTAACCATTATGCCACCAGGGCTCCTGATACAAGTCTGCTTTTGCTCAATGACACACATTGATAGAAATGAATTAAAGTCACTGTTGAGTAAGTCTGTGATGTGTCTTTTAACAGAATGAATAAAAGTCTCTGAAAGAAAAAAATTAAGTCACAAAATCCCTCACATTCAAATTGTTTAAAATTATTGAGGAAAATACAGTGTTTATTAAAGAGTTTAAGCAAATCAACTCTAAAAGATACTATTAAAGTTTGCCTCTGACAGAATTCACAATGGAATTCAAATGGAAATATACTCCTTGGGCCAGAGTTTATATTTAGTGACTTAAATAAAATCAAAATACTTAAGTAGAGTAAGTAAACTTCTTTTTAATGTCAAATTCAGGATTGTTAAATCCTTTTCAAAATGGCTTAAATTAATGTAAAGATTAATTCACTACATTTGTCCGGCCTGGGTGTTTTATCCTCTCATTGGTAACCTGTACATGTGTTATATGCTCTTTAAATGAATGCACATAACACAGAGCTGTGGTTTATGATTTCTATCATCTTCACCCACAGTTGACTCCTGTTAATAATTAGAAACTTATTTTTAACCCACTGTGGTACTTGGCATCCTATTTTAGTAAAACTAAGTATTTTAAGAAAAATCTCAACTTATTTCTTCAGGGCATATTTACACTAAGGCATAGTTTCAGGAAAGTAGATAGACTAAACTCTAGGGAGGAAAACTAGAGAAAAAAAAAAAAAGTACCATAAAATTATAGAATAATTATCCTACAGTAATGTTCTCCAAGTAGGTATTTTTGTAAAACTAGTCATGCTCATTTCTACTGTACTAGCAGTAAAAGAATGAAAGTGACCCATCTGATGCCAGCTCACTATTGTATCTTTCGGACATTTTAAAGGAGACAAATGATATGCATCTACAATTTGCCAGGCACTCGGCTTGTTTTATATGCACAATCTTAATAGTAATCTTAAGCGACATAAAAACAGGGCTACTGTGGAAATGGAGGCTATTCCTTTTAGATGTGTAACATAACATTTTCGTTTCCTTTGTAAAACTACCAGCTGAACACTCCATCTGGTCAGCCTTTTTTTTTTTTTAACATGTGCACTTCACTCTTCAGTTCTCTTTTGAGTTGGCTTTTAGAGCAGACTGCAGCTGTTTTTTCCCACTTACACCAACCAGCCTGTTTCTGCCATTGCAGAAACAGTTGGGGAAATTTCCAAGTTCCCAGAGGGCAATCAGAGCTCCAGTGAAGGAGGTGATGCCCTCTAGTTTTCATTACAGCTCTTCCTTGCCCTATCTATGCCTCTGATTTCTCATAAAGGTAACACAAGACTGAGGAGAGGACTCATAGGGAAGCATTTATTATGTACATAACGCCACACTGATGGCAAATGCAGGCACTGAACTTACCTCATGGCCAAATCTGAAAATGCACAAGTGGACCATAAACCCCTGACCTCCTGCACACACTGCTTTCTGCTCCACTAGACAGAGGTCCGGGCCTTGCCATTATATGCTCACTGCTGGGACTGAACCCACACAAAGCCTGCCCATGCTGAGGACGAGAGTAACAGAGACGGGGATGAGGCAAGGCTCAGGAAAGCACAGACGGCTCACGGCTACTACTGTGAGCAGCAGTGTGGCCTCCATATCCAAGCCTGCCTGGTTCGTTGTGGGTGGGCTGGGGTAGGGAGGGAGCCAATGTTGGGCCTGGTCTTCTCCTCCTTACCCCCATCTCTGACTTTTCCTCATCTCAGTGCTATCTGTCAGATCAAACGTGGATTCTTCATTCCATTCAGGTTTGTGGTGTTTAAATTTGTGTCAACTCGGCTGGGACTGGTTGAGTGGCTGGGCAGCTGAATGTAGTTATTCCCTGGGGTGAGACTGGTAATTGACTCCATGGTGGACTCTATTGGAGCAGCTGAGTAGCTGCTTTGGGTATGTGGTCTCCTTCCTGTACATAAGAGCTTTGAGAATCATCTCTAGCTTATGGCATGCTTGAACCCTGCATATAGCTGTGTTGTTGCTCAGCAGCCTGCCGTGCGTGCTTTGCCAACCTTGGTACTAACAACGGACTTGAATTAATGGCCTGCCATGTGGTTTGGTAACATCGGGACTGTGCCATTTTATTTGTCAACCTTGGGCTCGTTAGCCTCAGCAGCCAGTAGCTGCCTGAATGAAGAGATGCCTCTAACTTCAGTGGGCCAGGAGCAAGAGGCAGAGCCCAAGGTCGAGGGGCTTTCACCTAGCCCCTAGAGCCTGGCACTTTGAACTCGGACTTCTAGCCTCCCAAACTGTAAGAGAATAAACTCCTGTTTGTTAAGACCACCCCTTTTGTGGTATACTCTTGTCAGAGCAGTACTAGGTAACCAAAACAAGGTTTTAACACTGAAAAGCATGGTTAGGTAGGGAATAGTGTCCATCAGTGGTTTGCCTTGCAATGGAGGTCTATGTGCCAAAAAGGTTTACAAGACTTTTAAAAAATTTTTTCTTAAAAAACATGAGAACCCACGTAGTGTCTGAGCTGTCACTATAGTTTTCTCATGCCTCATTTGTCTCTCTGGGGTGAAAACCCTAAAAGGATTTCCTCCTTCACTGCAAACCATTTCTTTTTTGCTCTCAGGAGCATTATTTTCCCCTATTATAAGAGTTTCTGCATTCTTCTTTGTATGGTCACCTCCCCAAGGGAGGGACTGCCTCATTTATCTTTGCATCTGCTCCTCTAATCAGTGAAGTATTACAGCCTGCCACCAAGGAGGAGCATAACAGCGCTTTACTGTTACATGGTAGTTGTTTCTCCAATAATTATAGTAATAAAACAATGCCGTATTTATTATTGACCCTTTATGGCATTTGCATAATGACCTGCACTTGTTGTTATGTGCTGTAAAGTTGATTCCAATTCCTACCAATTCTATAGGACAGAGCAGAACTACCCCATGGGCTTTTCTAGCCTATACTCTTTACAGAAGCAGATTTCCAGGTCTTTTCTCCTGCAGAGCCACTGGTGGGTTAGAACCACCAACCTCTCAGTTAGCAGCTGACTGCTTAACCATTGAGCCACTAGGCTGCTTGATCTGCACATAGCAGGTTACCAGAACAAAGGCAGCCTTCCCTTTTCTAACTACCCAAACCAAAACCCATCGCTGTTGAGTCAATTCCGACAGTTAGCCTAAATAATTTGTTTTTTGGAACAGAGTAAGTGGTTGGAAAGCTCTGTGGGGTTGGGGTAGGTCCCAGCGGAAAGATGCTGGATGAGTTCAGAGACCTGGTTATAATTTGCTTTCACCTCTACCTTGGTTGCATGGGTCCCCTCATTTTCTTTTCAAGATGTTGGGGAGAATTAAAAAAAAAAAAAAGCAATGACTATAAAAACACTTTGAAAAAGTTTTAAGCATTATACAGACACAAGGTGTTATTATTTCCTTCATAAGTTCCAGTAGCAAAAAATTATAATGAACATTAAGCGAATGTTGTTGGCTAGTAGTGTTAAATACTGTTTACTCTGTAAGTAAGCCGTAATACTTTTGTGCCACTTTTTCGCAGGTATGAATTAGGAGCGGCTCTGTTCATTGGATGGGCAGGAGCATCACTCTGCATCATTGGGGGTGTCATATTTTGCTTCTCAATATCTGACAACAACAAAACACCCAGGTATGAAAACAAAAATTATCTGTTAAAAAAAAATACTGTTCTAAATTATTACATGTAGAATGAGCTACATAATTCATAAGGTTCTCAGAAACCTCAAAACCCCAGAACTGGAAAATATTGGAAATATAGTTAATAGAAACAAGGAAAAAAAATACTTATTATTACTATATTCTAAAGCTGTTTCTATTTGAAACATTTGAAAGTTGGAATGTTGTTCTACTAAAAGATCAGTTGTGAGGGGTACAGGCCCCCAAAAGTTAAACACCAAAATCAATGACTGCCTTAAAAACATGGATCTGAAGATGAGGGCATAGTCTTCATTGGAGTCACCGAGTGGTGAAGTAGTTAACATGCTCAGCTGGTACAGAGTCCACCCAGGGGCACCTCAGAAGAAAGGCCTGACAATCTCTTTCTAAAAAAATCAGCCACTGGAAACCCTATGGAGTACAGTTCTACTTTGATGTGTGTGGGGTTGCCGTGAGTTAGAATCTGGATGGCAACTGGGGTGTTTTTTTTTTTTTTTTTTTTCCATTCTTCTCTATGGCCTCCTTATAATTTCATATAGGCAGAAATTGTTGATGCAGGTTACTTAGTCTCCAGGTTTGAAGGAAGATGAGTTGTAAAAATAGTTTTGAAAAAGAATGAGTAAACAAATGAACAAGCCATGTGTTTCTTCTGCAGAAATTTTGTCACTCAAACTGGAAAGGATAATGAAATATTTCTTGGGTTGAAGGGAAGGAAGAAAGCTATCTTCAAGTAATCAGGGGAAGATTTAGACTTAGCTGCTTACAGACCTAGGGGAAATGGGTTTCCTCTCCCTTGCTGTTTGCCCCATATATGGAATATAATCTACCATCTGTTTTTTGCCTTTCAGAATGGGATATGCATACAATGGGGCCACGTCAGTCATGTCTTCTCGGACAAAGTATCATGGTGGGGAAGGAGATTTTAAAACCGCAAACCCTTCAAAACAGTTTGATAAAAATGCTTATGTCTAAGAGTACTGCTGCAAGCTATATCTTGAGTTTGTTATTAAAAGTGAACTGTTCACAAAATGATTCCATCAAGGCCCTCCTATAATTAACACTCAAAACTATTTTTTAAATAGGAATTGGAAGAATTTGTTGATTGTGTGGATGTAAATGTTCTTACATCGTTATATTCTAATCATTTTCTGTTGTGGCTTTCTATATAAAAAAAAAATAAACAGGTTATTTACAGGATTTGTATATATTTTGTACATTTATAGAACATGTAAACTATTTAGATCAAAGTTTCAGGAAGCATCTGTAATGTAGCTGTCTTACTCATTCATACATTGAAGTCTTTGTCCCTCTTTTGTTCGTTGCTTTTCATTCATATGCTAAACTGAAGGTATGTAAGTAGTGGAGCCTTGTAACAGTATGAGGGCAATCTGAGACTATTCCTCAAATGGTGTTCAGGATAAACAGACACAGTACTGGCTGCACAACATCTACTTCTAGTTTCTTACACCCCTCTGGCACAAGTGTAATTCACTATGGTAAGTGCTGAAGGAAAGGGTAGATGCCCAAGATGTTTGGCCTTTTTACCTTATTCTCCCCACCCTAATTAACTGCTTCAGCCTGTCTGACATAGTACATGAGCTGAGCTAGGGACACTGATAATAGTGGCTTTGGAACCCATAAAAGAAATTCTGAAGTCTGTGTGGTACCTTTTTCACTCAGAAGTTGTGGGCTGAGTTCCAGTATGCCTGTCAGTCAGATCCTGTTTTTGGAACTAACTGGGTCATTGAGGCACACCATTTATCCAGCCATGGAAGTTGCTCCAGTGATTTCTGAACAAAGAAAAAGTGTACTCCTAGAGCTAGCCTTTTCAGATCACGTGCAGAGAGGTAACAGTAGTCACAGCTAACAGAGCACCATTCCAAACACTTTATACTCCTTAGCTTACTTAATCTTCACAACTACCCTATGAGGTAAAGATTATGATTATCTTGAATTCACAGATGAGGAAATTAAAGCCGAGAGTTTAGGTAACTTGCTACAGTCAGCGATAAAACCAGGATTTTGAACTCAGGCCATCTAGGATAAAATACAGTTTCAAGCTTTGCATAGGACTTGTTATCTGTGTTATTTATGAATAAGGAACTTTCCAATATTAATTATTTCATGGGTGGATATAATATTTCTCTGAAGCATGAAAGGACTTAAAATCACATTGTTTTCTGTGTAGAAAGAAAAGGAAATGGACATGTTGTTATCTAAAAAAAAAAAAAAATTGTAATATGATAATACTTGATATATCTTTTCCACAGATACAAACTGACCGAAAGGCATATAAGATAGGCCAGTGTGAGGACAGGGTTGTGTGGGTGTGCTGAAATTTTTTTATTCAAAGCTGAGCTGGAGAAGACAATTCAGTGAGGAGAAATATAATGCAATGATCTAAAGGAAAATGAGCAAACCAAATCTATTATTATTAGATAAAACGGTATAGTAGCCACAGAACTTAGAACAGGGAATCTCATTTGAATTATTTGGCATATTTGTAAATAACTCTTAGTTTTTTAAATTTTTTGGATGAGAACTGATAACAGTAACTACATTTCAAAGTTGTTCTAATTAAAGGAACTAATAATACATGTTGAGAAAAAACAAACAAAAAAGCCTGGAACCAAGTAGCTAAATGTTATTCAATATGTTGAATAAATGATTGGAAAAATGAATCCATGAACCTAGTGGCCCTTATGCCATCTAAGGCATGTGTGTGATTGCTTACCTCTGTCCTACCCTATGAAAATTTGATTTAGCCTTTTACTAAAGCTTTTAGAAACACATACATAAAGTTAGTAAAATGGCCCCTGTAGAAAGTTGGAAGAATTTTTTAAAGGGTACAGATAGGCTACAAATAAAAAGGATAGTGGAGGAGGAAGAAAAAGATGAAAATTCATTCTAACATTAGTTCAGGATATTATATGGCATAAATAGAAAGGCAAGGTGCTTGTTTGTACATACCCTCAAACCAGACAAACTCACTGCCATTGAGTCAATTCCGACTCATAGCGACACCCTTTGGGTTTCCAAGGTGGTAAATCTTTACAGAAGTAGATGGCCCAGTCTTCCTTCTGCGGAGTGGTTGGTGGGTTTGAACTGCCAACCTTCTGGTTAGTAGTCAAATGCCTTAAGCACTACGCCACCAGAGAACTCCAGTACATACCCTAGTAAACAGAAATTTAATGCAGAAATAAACCTCCAAACACCTTGTTCAAGTCATCTCTAATAACTCAGCCATAGTCACAATGATGTAATGGAGGGCTTTACTTGAGAGGTTTGCAAATTAGAGACCCAAAATCCAACAGATGTTCCTTTTAGTGAAAATGTTACTTTTTTTGGAAACAGTACAGATAGTACCACAAAGTTTAAAAACGCAGAAACTGTTTGTACTGATTTTCTGACTTTTGACAGTTACCATTTGTTCAAGAACATAACTAAATTAGTTCTGAGGTATTTTATGATACGGGTTGGGCATTAAAAAACATTTGAAAAAGAAGAAACTACACACGCATGTGAATTCAGTAATGAGTCAATCTTTTCTATTCATATTGCGATAAAATAATTGGCATTTCAAATAGCTACATTTTAATAATAAAATATCCAAGGTAAAGATTATCTGCTTGAAATACTATTTTAATTTTTTAAATAATTGTTTTAATAACAACATGCTTAGAGTGGCTCAATGCTGCATATGATGACAGTACTGTGGGAAAATGGGTAAAATGGGTCTAACTACTGTTAAAATTCTAAACTTTTATATGAAAAATAAACAGTCTACTCTGAAACTTTAATGGATTCCACTAATTCAATTTTAAAGAAACTAACAGAATTTTGTAATATAACACTTAAAATATGTGACAACTTCTATAAGAAAATATATATGAGTTTTAATAATTCATACCAAAATTGCTATTAAAAAAAAAAAGAACTACCTAAAAATTAGTTGAAAAGAATATAGAGTACCATTCTGAAGAAAAACTTTTTATGACTTTAATGACATATTATTTTCAAGCAGCAGAAGTCTTAAACACCTTTATCTCTTCAAAATACTGTTGACAATTTGTTTTTCAACACTGTATTGATGCCATTAAAGAGACCCTTGTTCTCTGAATAAGCTTCCTTGTTATTGTGGGAAATACTGTAGGGCATGAACATTGGCGTCCCATAGGCAGGTTACTGAAATACTGTGAGAATGAAATGCTGTTGGCTTCTGGAAGAACCTTCTGACATTTGGAATTTTAGTTACACATCTGAAGAGTCACTCCAATCAGTCACAGTTACTAAGCTGCTTTTTAATGTGCTTGATTCATTGTCTTGAAGTCCTATGGGGAATAAGAGAAGAGAAGACTCCATGATTAAACAGGTGCACTGCCAAGTCTATAAAAATCCAGAATTTCATATTCTAACCTATTACTCTGTGCTTGAATCTGTTAATCCCTGTTCCCCAGCCCCTACAAGCTGGAGAGGCTTTCATAGCAGGAAGCGACTATAAAATCTGGCCATGAAGCAGCCATATCTCTAGGACACCATCAAAGGACCCTGCAGCCGAAAAGTGCCCAGCAGCAGGCACCACGTCCTGCTTCTTGCTTCCTTCCCCAGCCAGTACTCGGCACAGGGCATGGATGTTGGATGTGCTCAATACATTTTGTTGTTCTTGCTACTAACTGTGTGAATAGATGGTAAAGGGGAGGAGAATAATAGTGACGAGCCAAGTAATCATTAAGTGCTAATAGATTTTGTAGGGTAAACAGACTGAAATAAGAGGTTCATTAAAAAGTGCATGATTGGGAGCCACGGAAAGAGTGCTGTGTGGAGCATTTCCCTTGAGTCTGACTCTAGGAAAGGTTCCTTAAAGGGGTACAGGGTCCTGGCTTTGGGCAACATGTACTGTGGGCACGCCTCTTGCCCTGTGCACTGAGAAAATCAATGTCGTGTAAACACGGTTTTATGGTTTGCAACTATCAGAATCAACTCTTAGACCCAGCACAAACAACTTAATGACAGTTACAGAACAGAAGGTAAATGTCATAATTTGGCAATGTGCATGTAAAGGCACAGCTGACCTGCTGGTGGGGGAAGTGGAGGGGAAAGGCAGGAATGGCTTCATCTATAAATAGGGCTGGCAGCAAGAGATGCTGCTGAAATGGAGAGCAGGCACAGAGACCTAGAAGCATTCATTTAAAATTGCCAATAGAGGTATGGAAGTAGTGAAGGGGGAAATGAGAGGTGTAGTGGGTGATGAATATGAACCAAATCCTAACCTATCTTAGCAGGACATCAATAGATAATACCTAAAGTTGTTGAATCAAGAAGTAGTGGTATAGTTCACACTGGGGTACAATAGTTGGTCCCAGATAGAATGGGAGAGAAACATGGAGCAGAACTCAAAATCTTACCAAAAAAACAAAACAAAACAAAAAAGCTAGACAAAATGGAACAGTAGAGAACAGAGGAGTCCCTGTGACTATCGCCCTGAGATATTCTTTAAATCTAGAACCAAGCCTATCCTCAAGATCACCTTTCAGCAAGATAGTAGAAGGATGCTCAAAATAAAGGATATTATCCATTAGATCGGTGCTATACTTAAAAACCATCAGTATGAGATCAAAAGGTCAACAATTAAGCAAAGACAAGATAAAAGGGTAGAGAAACTAGAGTACTGGAAAGGGAACAAACTGAACACAATTAAAAAGGATGCTGACACACTGTGATAAATGTAACTAACGTCACCAAACAATTCGTGTGGAAACTGTCAAATGGGAACCTTACTTGCTTTGGTGTAAACTTTCACCAAAAACTCAATAAAATATTATTAGAAAAGAAAGAAAAAATAAATAATGGTGCATGCACATTACTCAGAGACATGGAGGTGCCCACCTGAAATGCTAACGTTAAATTCACGAAAGGCAGTACAGATGGTGAGGGGGCACAGAGCAGACCTTCTATACCACTTGATTTTCACCATGTGCAAGAATTACTTTGATCAAAATATAAACTATACATTTTTTAAAAAAATTTTAAAGCTTAAATGTATTAAGAATTAAGTTTCTACAATTCTCCAAGCTCTACATTAGGTAAAAGGAGCCCTGGTGGTGCAATGGTTAAGTGCTTGGCTGCCATCCAAAAGGTTGGCAGTCCAAACCCACCCAGTGGCTCCATAGGAGAAAGGCAAGGCAATCTGTTCCCATAAAGGTCGCAGCCTAGGAAATCCTCTGAGGCAGTTCTGCTTTGTCACATGGGGTCGCTATGAGTCAAAATCAACTTGATGGCACCTAACAAACACCACCACACCAGGTGGATGCCAACCATTCGAACAAATTGTTTCATTTGTAATTAATCCCACTGGCTACAATGCTATAAGGAAAACCTCCCTTGGAAAGGTAAGAAAATAATCAATATGTAAACAAATTAGTACATGAAAACTGTAAGAAGAATAATCTCATTCAAGAACAAGATCAGATATTTTCATTTCTATTGGGCACCTAAGTGAATAGAGTATGTGTGTGGGAATTTTCAAAAATAACCTAAGAACATGTTTGAAGACTAAAGATTGAACTTAATATTAAGTAGAAATAATTAGAAAATATATAAAAGTTGGTAAGTTGTAATATATTTGGTACTTATTTTAAAATAACATACAAAAGCATCAAGCTCTTTGTTATACCAGTAGTGTTTTTGTCCACTGATATATTAACATAGCTAAAACAATCTCCACTCCCATGGAGTTGATTCTGACTCAAAGCGACCCTTTAGAACAGAGTAGAACAGCCCCATAGTGTTTCCAAAACCGTAAATCTTTATGGAAGCAGATGCCTCATCCTTCTCCTGCAGAGAAGCTGGTGGGTTCGAACCTCCAACCTTTAGGTTAGCAGCCAAATGCTTTAACCACTACGTCGCCAGAGCTCCTTAATACAGCTAAAGTAGGTAGTGACAAAGATAAAATACAAATAAGTGGAACATAGACTGAGCTTTTCTAGATACTAAAGCAGCCAACCTTCTCCCTTGGGCCCGTTAGGATTAGATGCACCCCAGGCACTTGCAACGTGAGTAGAATTTGGTTCATTCTTCACAACTGGAGGCTCCCTCTGGTCTTTCTCAGTTTTCTTCCCCAAAGATTTTTCTTCCTCTAAGGATGATATGTCCCAGACATCATCCTCTACATCTGAGCACTATAACAAATACATGGAAAATAATGTTTCGTAAAGAATGAGCATGTGTTAGAACCCACAGTCATTTTGTTGGTTAGTCTAAGTAGTTGAAATCAAATGATAAGGAAAGAAGTTGGGAACCTCAGAGGATCCCAAGTTCGGTCACTCCTGCAAGGTGACAAAATGGATTTGGAAGTATGTGCTTTGAAAGCCGAGGGAACCACCTCTTTTTCATTTCTTGCTGTGGAAATGGATGTTTCCTGCTCTACCAATCATGGATTTAAAAATTCCCAAACCACTACATTGTAAGCGTATGAAACTGAAAGATAAGGGTGCTCCCCAAGCAGGAGCTGGACCAGCTCTGGGGTTCTTTGAACTCTGTGATAATGGGACTTCTAATCAGAGGAAAAATCATAAAAAGGATCTACAAAAATGGAGCCTGATTGAAAGGAACCCCCATTTCTACCACACCCTTCCTAAGGGAAGAAACTTTAGCTCTCTCCTAAGAGGCACACGACTTTTTGCCATTTTTGGTTTGTGTAACACAAATAACACTAACTAATAAAAATAGTTTGACAAAATGCTCTGGATTCTATAGAAGAATGGGATAAAAATTAAATCTAAGAGTGACTACCAGAGGAAGGTCCTATCAACATATGAGTTATTTCCAGAAATACAATGGCAGATTGCCACCCTCAGAAACACTTCAGGTATTCTGGGCATTGAACTGCTCAGAGAAAGTTAGGGCCTCCTCCCTAACACAGGTAGAAGTGGTTCAGGCTCTGCCCTCGAAGTCCCTCCATTCACACTTCTCTCTGAAGCATCACTCCACTAATTCCATCCCCAAGTGGGGCTATCCCCAGAAAAGTCTATAGTTTACTTCTAGGTCATGCCAGAGCAGCAGCAAAGTCTCTGGACTAGGTTCTGGGAACCCCAGATTCTAGTCAGTCACAAGCTTCTTTGTACAAACCATCCAATATATGTGAGTATCAAGTAATATGTGACACGATTCTGAAAACCTATAAAGTTTAATATACATACGAAATATTACAGATAGATAAAAAAAATTTAATACTGAAAGCAATATAAGGTAAAAATGTCAAAATCTACCATATCAAATATTTCTATTTGTTTTTAATTTGACTATAAAAAATACAACTATTAAGAGTATCAAAAGATGAATTTATCCATGTATATTTAGCAAATAAAAGTGATTTCACCTTTAGTTCTTCTTGTAATTCTTTTTTGATGAATGCCTCGGCAACATTAATTCCACCAATTGGTTTATTAACATTTCTGTGATTTGAAACTGTCTTTTCAACTTTTTCAGTTATTGTTTTAATGGAAGTTCCTATAGGACAATAAAAATTAGTCAATGAAAGTTTTTGATATTTATTTATTTATTTATTGTGCTTTGGGTGCAAATTTACAAAGCAGACTTGTTTTACATTCAACAGTTCATGCACATTTGATTTTATGGGCCCGATCACTATCCTCAACCATAAAAAACTCTCCTCCCCTCTCCTCCCTGTGACTACCCCTAACCTGTGCCATTCTTATCTTTCTATGCATTCCTGTTTGTCCAGCTTTCCCTCTACATAAGTGCTGCCCCTCTGATGTCTCATGATTGATTGCTCAAAGGGATACATCTGCCTAGAGTAGGTGAGTACATCTCCTTGGGGTAGGTATTCTGCATGTAGTCTTTCTGCTGCTGGGTTGAGAGCCAATCCATGGAAGTGAGTCCATTTCTACAGGCAAAGGATAACCTGGGGCCATAGTCTTAGTGTTGCTACCAGTCTCTATCTGACCACTAATTCTGGTCATTTTTGTGTTTTTGAATTTTGTTCCACATTTTTCCTGCCACTCCATCCAGGATCTCCAATTCTGATCCCTTTCCAAGTGGTTGGCATCCGTAGCTGGGCACCATCTAGTTCTGGTCTTGGGGTTGTGAAGGCTGAGGTCTTGGTGGTCCATCCTATCTTTGGACTAATTATTTCCAGATGTCTTTGATTTTCTTCACTCTACTTTGCTCCAGATGAAAGGAGCCAAATAATTGTATCTTAGATGGCCACTCAAAAGCTTTTAAGACCCTAGTCGCTACTCGCCAAAGTAGAATGTGGAACCAGATTTTTATGCACTATGTTGTGCCAACTGAGCATGATGTCCCCCAAGACTATGGTGCCAAGCCCACAGACTTGGTGATTCTCTCTCTCAAAGTGTTTGCTTTGTTTTGGAGAAGCTACTCTACCCCGTCCTCTGTTGCTTCTCTAATGTATGTGGATAATTTTGTAGCACAAGTACATATGTAGGATTATCTTCAGCCAAATCTATCCTTGGTCTTGTCCACCTACCCACACCTGATCTTCTCACCAGTCTATGCATTTACCTGTAGCCTAATGTTTGGTACCAGTGGTAATGCAGTATTGTGCATGAATTAGTATTTGCCTCTGTTGTCTATATCTTTTGTGCACTTTTCTGTGTCCTTCCAATTAAGGTTCATTAAAAATTATATCTTCAGTTCTAAAATAACCATAACAGCTCACTTTGAAAGAGTCTTGTTGTTGTTGTTATGTGCCGTCGAGTCGGACCTTTAGCTTTGCAAATAATTATATATTTATCACAATAAAATCAACTGATATATTTTGGTGGTGAAAACAAACTCATACTACATACTTATTGCTTCCTTAAAAACATAATCCTTCAATACAAGATCAACATCCAAAACTCAGTTGGATTCCTCTACACCAGCAAAGAGATTGCTGAAAAAGAAACAAGCAAATCAGTACCATTCTCAATAGCTACCAAAAAAATAAAATACTCAGGAATAAATCTTACCAGGGACACAAAAGACCTGTACAAAGAAAACTATAAAAGACTACTTGAAGAAACCATAAGAGATCTACAAAAATGGAAGAACATCTCATGCTCATGGATGGGAAGATTGAACATTATGAAAATGTCAATTCTACCCAAAGCAATCTATACATTCAATGCAATCCCAATCCAGATCCCATCAACATTCTTTAAGGAGATGGAAAAACCAATCACTAACTTTATATGGAAAGGAAAGAGACCTCAAATAAGCAAAGAACTATTGAAGAAGAACAAAGTAAGATGCCTCACAGTGCTGGATCTCAAAACCTACTATAGAGCCATAGTAGTCAAAACAGCCTGGTATTGGTACAGTGGCAGACACATAGACCAGTGGAATATAATTGAGAACCCAGAAACAGATGATCAGCTGATCTTTGATAAAGGGCTGAAATCCATTAAATGGGGAAGAGAATGTTTGTTTAATAAATGGTGCTGGGAAAAGTGGATATCCATTTGCAGAAAAATTAAACAAGATCTATACCTCACACCATACACAAAAACTAACTTGAGGTGGATCAAAGACTTAAATGTGAAACCTAAAACTATAAAGTTCCTCAAGGAAAAACTAGGGGCAAGTATAGGGGCCCTAATATATGACATAAATACACTATCAAGCATAACCCAAAATACACAAACAGCAGAAGAGAAACTAGATGAATGGGACCTTCTAAAAATTAAATTTTGATGTGCTTCTAAAGACTTCTCCATGAGAGTCAAAAGAGAGCCTAAAGATTGGGAAAAAGTATTCAGCAATGACATATCTGACAAGGGACTTATCTCTAAAATTTATAGAAAACTCCAACACCTCAACAACAAAAAGACAAATAATTCAATTAAAAAATGGGCAGAAGACATGAATAGACACTTTACCAAAGAGGATATTCAGGCAGCCAACAAACATATGAAGAAATTCTCATGATCATTAGCCATTAGAGAGATGTAAATAGAAACAACAAATGAGATACCAACTTGCCCCAGCACTAGTAGCAAAGTTCAGCAAGACAGAAAATAACAAATGCTGGTGAGGGTGCAGAGAGATTGGGACTCTCATACACTGCTGATGGGACTGTCAAATGATATAACCACTGTGGAAAGCAATATGGTGATTCCTTAAAAAGTAGGAATTAGAAATATCATTTGACCCAGCCATTCCATTACTAGGTATCTATCCTAAAGAAGTGAGAGCCATGATAAGAACAGATATATGCACACCCATGTTCATCGCAGCACTGTTTACAATAGCCAAAAGATGGAAGCAACCCAGGTGTCCATCAACTTAAGAATGGATAACCAAACTATGGTACATACACACAATGGAATACTGTGCAACCCTAAAGAATAACGTAGAATCTACAAACATCGCATAATGTGGATGAACTTGGAGGATATTATGCTGAGTGAAATAAGTCAATCACAGAAGGACAAATATTGTATTAGTCTGTTATTGTAAAAAGTTAAGGAAAGGTTTATATGGAAGGAAATTTTCTTTGTTGGTTACCAGAGGTGAGAGGGGAGAGGAGGGAACACTGTTAGATAGGTGGAGATAAGTACTGATTTTGGTGAAGAGAAGGGCAATGTACCAAATGTGAGTGATCAACATGGTGCCATTGAGGAAGATGAAGGCATAGAGAGGTACAGACAACAAGGATGAACCCTTTGCACATACAGTACTGAGTTGTCAGTGAAGGCAAACATGGGTATACGGGTGGATAGATGGGTGGATAGGCTGAACTATTAAGTATGTCTATGCAGGGGGCGGGAGCTCTGGTAGCATAGTGGCTAAGGCACTTGCCTGCTAACCAGACAGCTGGCAGTTCAAACCCACCAGCCACTCCTCGGAAGGAAAGTTGGGCAATCCTACTTCCGTAGTGATACTGCCTCAGAAACCCAAGGAGGGGTCGCTATGAGTCAGGTTTGACTCGACGGCACATAACAACAACAACAACAATGCAGGGGGCAGTGTGCCCAAGACCATGTATATCGTTGGTAGACAATGTTTTTACAAGTGTATTTCTATGTTCTGTAAGAATTCCCAGGTGTATAATAGAACTGACAAGGGACAAAGTTGCAGTCACTTCTTGGGTACAGCCAGCTACCCAGAGGGAGTGAGTAGTTGGACCTGTGGGCTTGGGACCATAGTCGCAGGGGACATCAAGCTCAATGGGCATAACACGCTACACAAAATATTGTTCCACCTCCTACTTTGGTGAGTAGCGACTGGGATCTGAAAAGCTTGTGAGCAGCCATCTAGATGCAATGATGGGTCTGTCCTTGTCCAGAGCAAAGAAGAATGAAGAAAACCAAAGATTCATGGAAACAATTAGTCCAAGTGACTGGTACACCATGTAGTCCTCAGCCTGTTCAACTATGAGACCAGAAGAACTAGATGGTACCTGGTTACCACTGTCAACCACTCAGAGAGGGATCTATGTAGGAGATCCTGGATAGAGTGGGAGAACAATTTGGAACACAACTCAAAATCATTTGGGTGAAAAAAAAAAAAGGACCAGGTTTGCTACTCTGATAGAGCCTGGTGGAACCACTGAGACTATGGCCCCTAAATGCCCTTCAGGTCTGGAAGTGAACCCACTCCTATGGCTTCCAAACAAAAGACAGGCATATGAGGTGAACATTTATACTAGGTAGATACACTCCTTGGAGAGAACAATCATGGGAGAATAAAAGGGCTGTGTATGTACAAGGACATAGCTCAGGGAGCAGAAGTACATGGAAGGAAGGATACAGGGAAGAGGTAACTATGGTGAAGATGTGGGAGGGGAGCTGTTGCATTGTGGTAAATTGCAGTCAATGTCATGAGACACAATGTGTGTGAACTGCTGTATAGAAAGTGAATTTACTCTGTAAACTTCCACCCAAATCATGATAAAAAATAAATAAATAAAAATAATTTAAAAAAAAGTCATAATCCTTCAAACCTGGAGCTACAAAACTTTCATTTTAAATCAAAGATGATGGTCTCATTCAAGTATGTGATCAGAAACTTTAATTTCAATGGGATGACCTGCATGAATAGAATATTCATGTGAATATTTTTAAAAATAATATTTATACTATAACCTACAATATTTCACTGAGGTGTGAAACCTGGAAGCTATTTATCTACAATTCTGGCATGAACACTCCAAGCACAAGACAACCTTTGTTATGGAGCCTGAGTGTTGTTCTAAATCTGACACTTGCCGATTTAAACCAGTGCTGCCCTGGTGCACAGATGCAAATTGGTTCTCCTTGGTGTTGAATCTCTGAGAAAAAGGTTCCAAATACGTCATTCCTGTAGAACAGGCCCTGGAAGAGCAAACACTGACCTCCTACTTCACTGAGAAACCTGAGACAATCTGGTATGAAGAGCTCCAAATTTACTCTAGCAAAGCTATAAGCCTTTCTGTGCTCAGTTATTCTTTCAACCTTTTCTCCTGTTACAATGAAGACAGCCCTCCTCCTTTCAGCAATGTCCAT